AAATTACGTCATCGATGACGTCATCTTCTGCGCATGCGCCGTCTTCTTAAGGTCTCGGACCGGAGTTTCCCTCCGTATTTCGAGCAATTTGACACCCTCAGCCCGACGGGCTGTCATTTCTGTACTAAACGCGGGTCGGAATTTTTCACTCTTTTGGTGGAAAGGGGTGCCGTGCCGCTTATCAATACAGTTGATTGATATTTTCTGCGCCCAATTTATTTAGGGGTAATTAAGGCACATCAAAGTACATTTTAAAAAGGGGTAATTTTTTCGTCATTTTTAACCACGGCTGCATGGAAAAACGAATTTTCCCAGGGTAACGGCTTAGTACTCGAAGAAGCTCAGAACCTAGTGTTTCCAAAATTTGAATTTAATTAAAATCGATGCGATAAGTTTATCGCTATCTTCGATGGCCCGAACACACCCATAACGCATATAGAACGTACAATCCCGGCGGTCAGGCGAAAAGGCCACATTACCATCCGCGCGGACGAATACCAGGAAGTCTTCGCTGGACCACCAACATTACGCCACCTATAAAGGCTACAACTAACAGGCTTTACAGAAAATACAAATATCTGTACACAGATATTACGATTTCAGGGATATCGCGGCCAAAACATACCATTCAAAGTCACGTTTCCGGCGATTTACTGCGCACTTACTTAGACTCTGGTCAGAATTAAACTCCGACCCGGAACCTTAATAACATATGTTAATTTTACATAAAAAATTTTAAAATTCTTCAGGAACATTATATCTACCATATATCCAAATTTGGCTTGTATGCGATCATTACTTTTCCCGCGGCAGCGGTTTAAAGTCATGTGAAAAACACTGTGTTCTATGGCTACTTTTGCCAAGACGCGGCGCCTAGGCACCTTTACAATGGAGAAATTAAAAAGTACCGTTTTTTGGGGTTTCGCTTTTCTCAAATCAGTTAAAACGGAAGGAAACGCCCGCTCTGGTCCTTGGCTAGGGATAGATGTGGTTTTATCGTCCTTTCTGTGCTGCATACTTGCGGAAAACCTCTTTTAAAGTTGGGATCGATGACGTCACGCAGTGACGTCATGCGTTGTCCAAGTTAAACAGCAGGGGGTCGCGTTTTTGCTTCACCGCTTTACATTGAAATGAAGAATACGTCAGATTTTGACCTTAGGTGATAGAACTGAGTTCACACTTTCCGAATCAAACGAGTCCGACACCAAACTCTTCACTACTTTGCCGTGAATGGCCTATTAAGTAGCACAGCGCACCTTAAATGTGTGAAAAACTGCGTTCTTACAAGGCGCAAAACACAATCTGGGTGATGCTGCCGTGGCTAGGAGCGAGTAGTTGAAATAAATGCTGCAAAGTTGCGTGAAGTACTTATTAGGCTATCACTTAACACCAGCCAACGAAAAGAAGTTCGCGATTTTAAGCAGCCCTGAACCGAAAATCAGAAAACCTAGTTTTGCCTTAAATAGGCCTAAAACAGTCGAATTTTGCTGTAAAATGTCTGTTGTAGTCACCATAAATGGAGAGACTTGGCCGAAGTTATGCGGAAGTGAAATTTAGAGGTCGACTCACATGAAATGACATAGAAAATGAATTCATTTGAGAACATTTTATCGTCCAGAAACGATTAAAATTGACCTTCACGGAGATTCGGGGGGGGGGGGGCGGGCGAAAGGGGAGGGGGGGCGGGCCTAGGACGTCGACGATGTATATCCGGACTTTT